TGGTTGTCCCTGCCATGGCCCGTAAGCTGTGCTCGGCGAAACACGGGTCGGAGCGCGGCGGAGTGCGACTTACCCAAGAGAGACTGACAGTAGAACTGGAGCCGGCCCGCTAAGCTGGATGCCTCGTTGGGTGGCAGCCGGTTGGACGTGAGGATGCTCACGAGGTCCTCGTCCAAGCGTTGTCTGCGCGCAGCGGTGCCACTGACCTTCACGAAGCTGTCGTGCACGGAGATCTCGACTCCCTGAATCACCTGTGTCGTGTGCGGCGGTTGTTCCTTAGACTGCTTGAAAGAAAAACCCAAAGCCTTGCACAGTCGCTTAGAGCACTCGAAAGAGGACGAGGCGAGGTCAGCGTCCTCGCAGCTCCCAAAATCGTCCACGAAGTGCAGCGCTGGCGTGAGCAGGCAAGCGCGGCATAGCCATGACATGAGGTCGGCGACGCGACAGTAGGCCCATACGGAAGCCACTGACCCAAACATCAGCGCTGTGTGCCGCCAAAGGGTAATGCCATGTGGCGTTGGCAGGATGACCCATGTATGGTCGGGGTCCTCCGCCGCCAGTTGGCGATAGGCGGCCTCATGGTCCAGGCCCCAGATGAGTAACTGCGCTTGCGGGTGCTTCTGCTTGATGGCGACCGCGAGCTGAACGTAGGCAGAAATGTCGTGGTAGGTTGGGCTGTCCTTTGCACCGACCGTGGCGTTGGCGAAGGAGCGTCGCCAGTCCTCTGCCCGCCTCACTCTGGGCTTGCCGTCGGAGCCAACCTGATGCACAGCGAATGCGAAGCAGGTGGGCTTATGGACTGTTGGCCCCTTCTCCAGCTTGCTGGTGTGAGAGAACGTTGTCAAGGGAACTGCTTGCTTCGGCCACGATGCCGGGCTGCTGAAGGGGCCTTCCATCCGTCGTTTGGTGACATCGCTGGCGATCTCCTGGGCCATGGCTTCCCAGCACGGGTCGACGCGGCAGCGGCGAAGCTTGTCCTTGACGTAGAGCTCGTTCTTCTGCAGGAACTCATGGGGTCGGCGTAGCGAAGGTCGTTGCGTGTTTTCCAACCCAATCCGGGTGCGAGAGGTCCTAGAAGACGAAACCCGTGCGTGAGCTCCTTGAAAATGTCTCTGTCTTGCCAGCCGAAGAGGTTGCACACTTTTTCTAGAGCTGGAAGCTGCAAAGAGCATGTACGAGTCTCACTGCGGTATGCTTTCTGAACATGCGGCGCGAGGTTAGCGTACCAGGCTTCCGTGTCCTCCTGCAAGTCGTCGACGAGGTCCTCGATCTGTTGGGCCACGGCGTCGCGAAGCTCCGCGAGGTGTGGCCTCATACGTGACCTCTGACCACACTTGGAGCCATTGCCTCAAACCGGGCTCGATCGAGGCATCCTTCGCTTCCGGATGAGGCATGACGCGTGACTGTCGCCAGTGCTCGTCGGGGTCCTCCAAGTGTGAGAGGTCGAACTCGTCGTAGTCCCCTGTCAAGAGGCGTGCCCCCTAGGGGGTTCGGTTCTGCTGCTGGCGTTGGCGGGGTGGCTGCGAAGACTGCCATGATGAACATCAATCTTGCTGCGCCCGCGTGCCAGCCATTTGCAATGGCTTTGTGGCGGGCTTGGTCTGGGAGCGATGCGGACCAGCCTTTGGGCAAGTGGTGCCATTGCTCCTTGATGTTGGCGGGAGGAATCACCAAGCGTTGGTCCCGATCCATCATCATGACGCCTGACTCGTAATGCCACGGAGCGTAGCGCCTCTTGTCAGCGAGCCAGCGTTGTGTTGCCTCCGAACTGATCTTGCCTTTTGAGCTCCGCGGTGCTGGGCGTCCTTGCGGGTCGTCGGAAGGTGTGGTCAGGCACGGCACTGGCTTGGCTTCGTCGGTGAGGCACCTTGGCAGGGTAAGGCCCTCGGTGTCGAAAGAGTCCAGCTTGTCCTTGTCCACGTCGAAGTGCACGCGCGGGATCCCCTGCATGGTGGTCCACCGTAGGTTGAAGGGACAATCCTTGCGGTGCGCGATCTCCTGCCAGGGCACGCGACACCACCAGACTCGGGGACGGGAAATCGTCCCAAAATCCGAAGCATCATGTACCACCGCGGGGGCGTCCAGCATGCGCTCCACCTTCCTCATATCCGCCCTGTTTTGCGGAATCACATTTTCCACGAGCAGAATGGCTCGGCTGCGGCCCCATGACTTCTCGACAGACTGGATGAGCTGGGCGAAGCGGGTAAATTTCGAGCCCTCGTGTCCGGCGTGGCCCGGAGCGTCCTGCCGGATCCTGGAAAAATCGTGACAAGGCGGTCCGCCCGCTATCACTATGTGGGCTCGACCGGACGGGTCGAGCTCTTCAACAAGCTTCTGGAGGGTCGCTGCGTCCTCCTGCTCGAAGTCTCCGCGAAGCGTCACTTGTGGGAAGTGTTCGGCACCCAAGCTCTCTAAGTCCTTGTCGATCTCCCATGATGCCCCCGACCACTTAAGGTTGTGCGCCTTGCAATAGTTGTCGCATACCATGAAGGCTGTCCCCAAGCCGTCAAAGAAGCTCAGCATCACGAAGTCGGGCGCAGTGCGGTTGTGCGCTCGAGCTACTGCCGCGCGACTCTTCAGGGAGACTGTGGGCGGCCTGGGAGGGCTGAGGGGTGGACCTTGTTCACGACGGCGAGGGAGCGGCGACCTGGAGCGGGCGCAAGTTGAAGACTCTCCTGTTGCTGTGGCAAGGTCGGGTCCACCCTCATGGGATGGCCCGTGCTGTCCCTATTCGTGATCGCGGTGGTCACGATGATCACGGTGGTGCCCGTCACCTTGTTGCCAGGACTTCCAGTGCTTCTGGTCGTTGGCGCGGTGGCGGTTGTCGTCGTTGCGGCGCCAGT